GGGGCTGAGACACCATAGCACGCTAGGGATCAACCAGCCTCGGCCTCATCCCTATACCTGGGACTGACAAGCCCGAGGTGGTGATAGGCGTGGGGATGCGCCCTGAAAAAAAAACAGGTAGCCGTCAAGATCGGCTCCGACATGAGGGGACACCAATAGAGGTTGGGATATGCTTCCGGCTGACAAGAGAGGAGGATCGGTTGGACGATGCAGAACACTTCCTCTCCAGGAATCGGGATATGTTTCAGGCTGTCAATGACGAGCCAACAACACACACCCATACCCATAGAGGGGTCGGAGAGGGCTATGGGTGCGTGTTGTCGGATGGGGGTCTCCGCTCGAACGGGAGCGTTCCCCAGGGTCCGACAACCCGCACCCATACCCATAGCCAGTCCTCCTCCCAACGACCCCCCTATGGGTATGGGTGTGTGTTGCTCATTCGTCAGTCAGGTGCAGTAGCGGTCAACATCGAATCGATAAATCGGCACGAAGCGGATGGTGCATCGCATCTGGCCGCATCGGCACGGAGTCGGAATCGAATCGAATCGGCCGCGCCCAGATGCGCAGCGGCGCTAATCCAACCGTCGGGCCGCATCGGATCGTCGGAGCAGATCCATACAGCATCACATCGGGCCGGCAGGAATCGACAGCGAGTCGAATCGATCGGATCAAGATGAACCCAGAAGGGGTGGGGATCGGTTATGTAAAATGACGCGAAGATCGGGACAAAATCGGATCGGGATAGCTCGAAATCTCTGAGAATCGGCGGGTTTGGAGGATGTATTGGGCGCCGCGGCCGCTCCAGAGCGTTCCGGAACGCTCTGAGGGCGCTCCGGAACGCTCTGGAGCGATTTATCCCGATCGTAGCCCTGTTGTATTATGGGCAACCCACAAAGGACGTACGCGCCCGACCGCGTGCGAGGCCGGCCGCGTGATACGAGCGCTGTCACAATGCGTGCGTATTTTCGGAACCAAAGTGCACGAATGCATATGTACGTCCTTCTTTCGCTCCTAGGGTTAGACGATTGGAAGAAGAAGCAACGGCATAGACACAAACTTTTGGCGCTCCGCGTGGATTTCTTGGATCTGCGCTGGACCCCCTCCTTGACGCGCGGAGCGAGCCAAGGGCGGCGCCGGAGGCGCCGCTGGGGGGGGGGGCCCAGCGCGAATCCGAGAAATCCGCGCGGAGCACCAAACCAACAAACAAGTATGTTTAGGGCGCTGTTTCTTCTTCGAATGAGTGTACATGTACGTCCTTCTTTCGGGGGCGCGCAAACATGGACTAGCGATCCATGGATTTGGCGCGCGGTCGCCAAATCCATGGATCGGGGGAGGTGCCCTCCCAAAATGAAGTTGGCGCCGCCTTCTTCGGCGGCGGAAATCCGCGACTTCCCATGGAAACGGGACCCGTCGCTAATCCGCGCCCCCTTGATCCATGTTTGCGATCGCCTGATTATTTCGCTCCCGATGTTAGACTTAGGTCGGGCATGTCCTCCTACAGGCGGACTTTCTACGAAAGTTGGAAAAATCAATCAATAATCAAACAATTGAAAAAATACTAGAAAACGCGTCCCCAGACTAGTTGTTTGACTATCTTTGAATATTCTGACATGCCCGACTTTGGGACGCCCGAAATGGGTACGGAGAACATGGGCACAATGTCCCACAACAAATGTTCTCCCAAACCAACAGCGGCCGCTGTTGGGCAGGCGGCCTCCTGTCTCGAATGAGGGACACAGGCCGCGGCGGCGTGGACAGCGAGTCCTGTTCCAAATGAGCAGGAGCTGCTGTTGGACATCGTGCCCACTCTCTCCGTGCCCATCTCGCTCGTGCCGACGAGGAGACGTACGTCCTTCCTTCGCTCCCGGGGCTCGACGAGGCCGAGCACCTCTCAAAGGGGCCCTGGGACACACACAAATAAATACACAGAAATAAAAGGATTCCCCATAGTTTCCTATATTTTTTCTGGGTGTTCGTCTTCCCCCCCACTTCCCATTTTCCCCCATATGTTCGGAGGGATCGACGATTCATTGTGCCTGTGTGCTTTTTTCCCCTCCTGCACCTCCTCCTGCCTGCGCATCTCCTCGAGCCGCGCCTCCTCCCGCCGGCGCTCCGCCTCGAGCCGCAGGCGCTCGGCCTCCAGGCTCTCGCGCTCCTCCGAGGAGAGGGGGGGGGGGGGGCCGTCGGCGCGGAGGCGCCCGCGGCGGCGGCCGCTGCCTCCCCCCCCGGGAGTCGGGCCTGTCCCCCTGCAGGAGGGGTCTCCCAAACCAGGAGGGGGAGGCGGAGGGGGCGAGGAGGAGGAGGAGGGGGAGGCGGAGGCGGAGGCGGAGGCGGAGGAGGAGGAGGAGGAGGAGGAGGAGGAGGAGGAGGAGGAGGAGGCGGAGGCGGAGGCGGAGGCGGAGGCGAGGAGGCGGAGAGGAGGAGGAGGAGGGGGAGGAGGCGGAGGCGGAGGCGAGCGGCTCGGAGGAGGCGGAGGCGGAGGCGGAGGGGGGGGTCGGAGGCGGAGGAGGAGGAGAAGGAGTGCAGGAGGAGGGAGGAGGAGAGGAGGAGTAGGAGGAGGAGGAGGAGGAGGAGGAGGAGGAGAGAGAACTAGTCTGGGGACGATGTTTCTGACTTCTTTTGCATGTGCTTGAGCTATCTCTTATGTCGCCCTCCAAAGCCCGCCTGCAGGAGGACATGCCCGACCCAATCCTCGTCCCTCCTCCTCGTCCCTCCTCCCTCCTCGGGGAACTGCTAACCTGGGTCAATCTGACCGGGTCAGCTGGAAACCAAAAAGCTGCAATGCAGGAAACAATCACTGCAACGCAGGGCTTCGCAAACCCAGGTCAGCCAATATGCGCGGCCGCCTCGCGACCACGAGCTGCTCGCTGACCCATTTCAGCCAGAGGGGGTCTTTGCAGGATCCCGCAGGATCCGATGTCCTGGCTGACCCACGTTTGCGTTAACCGCCGTCCCTTGAGCCCCGACGTCCTCCAGCCCCGGTGTCACCAGTCTGAGCTTCTCGGGGCGGGGGGGGCCTTCCAGGCTTCTGGCAGCGCGGGAAGCACAGTGCTCTCCTGACCGCGTGCGCCGATCCGCACCGGCGGTGCAGCCTGGGCTCGTGTGCTCAGGTCGGGCATGTCCTCCTGCAGGAGGACTCTGGAGGAGAGATAGAAAATGGCCCAAAAGAAGCAGAACACATAGCAGCAGTTGGTCAAAAATCAGCAAAAACGGTGGCAACACACAGCAGAAAACTCGTCCCCAGACTATGTGTTTGACTATTTTTGACTGCTCATCCTGTAGAGGGACAGGCCCGACCTACGTGCGTGCGCATTCTGGGATCGCGCGGTGAGCGACGGACCGACCGACCTCCTGCTCCTCCTGCGCGGCTCCTCCCGCGCAGCTCCGCCTGCTCTCCCCCCGTTCCCCTCCTCCGCGGCCCCCGCTCGACGCCCCCTCCCCCCTTGTTTGGACGCCCGAAACGGGTACGGAAAACATGGGTACAAGGCCCAACAACAAATGTTGTCCCAAACCAACAGCGGCCGCTGTTGGGCAGGCGGCCTTCTGTCTCGAATGGACACAGGCCGCGGCGGCGTGGACAGCGAGTCCTCTTCGAAATGAACAGGAACTGCTGTTGGGCATTGTACCCGCTCTTTCCGTACCCATTTCGGGCGTCTGTGGGAACACCGTGGGAAAAACACACACACAGTCTGTGGGAAAAACACACACAGTCTGCGTGTGTTTTTTTCCCACAATGTGTTTTTTTCCCACAGACCTTGGGGAAATCAAAAGGTACCGATACCGCTACTTCCCGGACCTCTCGCGGGGTGCGTTCTGACCAGAACTCCGAGGCGAATCCAGCGGTGGCGGCGAGGGCCGCCCAGAGGAGGCCCAGAAAGGGAACACGAGCGCGAAGGATAGAGGTAGGGGTACCTCTTCCTCCTCTGACGCTCGAGCCCCCTCCCCCCCTGCCCCCGTGGCTCCCAGCCTCCCCCCGCTCCCCCGGGCGCACGACGCCCTGGACTGGGGCGGCCGGACGACGCCCTACACTAACCCTACCTCCCTCCCTCCCTCATCCTTCCCCTCCCACTCCCCATGCCTGCCCATCCCCCCCTCCCCCTTCCCCTGCCTCTCCTCCGTCCTCCTCCTCCTCCTCCTCTCAATCCTCCTCCTCCCTCCTCCTCCTCTCCTCCTCCTCCTCCCCTCCGCTCCCTCCCTCCTCCTCCTCCTTCTCCTCCTCCTCCTGGCGCCAGCCTCGAGCGCCGGCGCGCCGCCGCCGCGCCCACGCGGCGCGACGGGGCCGCACCCCCCGGGCGGGGGGCGCCGCGCTCCTGGCGCTGCCGCTCCTCCTCGGCCGCGCGCTCGGCGGCCGCCCGGCGCTCCTCCTGCGGGCGGGGGCTGCGGAGCGATGGGCAGAAGTCGCCGGATCGTCGGCCGGTCGCGCGCTAGAGAGTTACAGTCGGGGCGTTGACCTAAGGAACCCCAAATAAGGAAAGAGGCCCCTAGGATCAGAAGTCGCCGGATCGTCGGCCGGTCGCGCGCTGGAGTTACAGTCGGGGCGTTGACCTAAGGAACCCCAAATAAGGAAAGAGGCCCCTATCTTCCACAAGTTAAGCTTCGCTTTCGTATCGAAATCTTAGGGGAAAACCTGAGGCACCGGATCGTCGGCCGGTCGCGCGCTGGAGTTACAGTCGGGGCGTTGACCTAAGGAACCCCAAATAAGGAACGAGGCCCCTTTTTCCGTAAGTTAACCCTCGATTTCCTGTCGAAAACCTAAGGGAAACCTGAGGCAAGCTGCGAAACACTCAAGGAACGCGGAGCCCCTCCCCAATGAAAAGGGTTCCTTCTTCAGCGCCCCGACTGTATGCTGTTCCCGTCGTTCTGGGGGGCCACGTGCCACGAAGAACCTCGAGCGCACCCGAAACATACCGAGGCGGTGCCTGCCCGACACAAGGGCGAAAAGCGTCGAGCGAGCATCGCCTGCCTCCCAGGGCCCGACACGTGGAAAACCTTCAGTGCGGGCACTTGCTGGGTGCTCGAAGTTCTTTCTGGTGATCAAGGCTAAGATTAGGTCGGGCATGTCCCCCTACAGGCGGATTTTGGGCGAGATATAGAACAAGGTAAGCCAACACTCCCAAGTAGCCAAAACAATAATCTGAACATCGTCCCAGACCACGTTTTGACTATCTTTGAACTCTCCTCCTGTAGAGGGACAGGTTTCGCTTAAGGCTACCCATCGGTCGGAAGAAGTAGGTAGAAACATGAAGTAGGAAGGCGCTGGAAATACATCGGGTTTCCGCCCGCCTCCTGAAGAGGAAGGAAGAGGGAAAACCACTCGACTCTTGATGTAGGAAGGCGCTAAACGTAGATTGGAATCTGGGAATCCAGAAATACCTACTCTCAACGACCGATGGGTAAGACCGGCTCGAACATCATGACGCCGGGGCAGATCGGGCCGCCACTGCCCTGCGGCGGGGCGCCTCGCCGCCACCGCGTGGCCCCCCTTTCGCGGGGGCCTCCCACGGCACGGCGAGCCGGGCGCGCGCCCCGGACGGGAGAGGACCGACTACCTACCAGACCACCCCAACCCAACCCGAAGACCCGAATTTCGGGTGGGGGGGGGGGTAAGTCGGGAGCGGCAGAGAGGGGGGTGTCCAAGAGGGGTGTGTGCAAATCATGACCGGCGGCATGTGCGCGGCCCAGCGGGGGAGCCAGGGACGTAATGAAATGAGAAGAGGCGCCATGAAATCTGGGGAAATATCATGGCCCCCGCCACGATATCCACCCCCCCCTAGTCAGCACCCCCCCCTTTTCCGCCCCCGAGTAAGGCTTCCACATGTGTTTGTTCTATGTTTCCCGACCCCCCCCCCCACTGGAACTCGAGGGGAAATCTGAGCCTCCGGGTTGGGTTGGGGTGGTTTGGTGGGTGGTGGAGGCAAGGGCTCCCAACTTCGCGCTTCGCGCTGCGCGAAGCGCGAAGTGCGAATAACTTCGCGCTCTCGCGCCGCCTCCCAGGGGAGCAAAAGAGGATGAGGAGGAATCGGAGCCGAACCGCGAAGCGCGAAGCGCGAATAACTTCGCGCCCTCGAAGGCGCCCTTGTGGAGGACACAACTGCACAAACGGAGCACTTCGGAGGTCCGCGCGGACGTCTCGGATCTGCCCTGGACCCCCGCCAGCGGCACCTCCGGCGCCGCCCCTGGCGCGCTCCGCGCGCCAGGGAGGGCCGCACGGATCCAAGAAGTCCGCGCGGGAACCCCGCAAGTTTGTGCTCTACAGTTGTGATTATTCTCCTCCTCCTCCTCCTCCTCCACTCCCTCCTCCTCCTCTCCCTCCTCCCTTCCTCCTCCTCCTCCTCCCTTTCCTCCTCCTCCTCCCCCTCCTCCTCCTCCTCCTCCTCCTCCTCCTCCTCCTCCTTCCCCTCCTCCTCCTCCTCCTCCTCCTCCTCCGTCCCCTTCTCCTTCTTCGACCGGAGCGGCCTCGTGGAGGGGGGGGAACCCCTCGCCACCAAGACCTGCGCTGCGTTCGGCACGAAGCGCGGGGGTCAAACCCCCCTTGACGGGGCTCATCCTCGCCATCGCCACCGTCATCACCGACATCGTCGTCCCCAGACGCCCGACGTCGTGATTTCTTCACAACGCCGACCCCCAGCGGTCTGGACCCTCTCCCCGGGACCCGTTCCTCTTCCCGAGTCTTTGTTTGACGGTCCCGAGGCCCGGGAAGGGCCCCCGGAGGCCGAAAATCCGCCGACCCTGTCGGTGTGTGGAAGAGGCTTTGTTGTTTGCTGCTTCTGCCTCGTCGTTCCTTTGTCCCGTTTCCCTGCAGCGTCGTCGTTTTTTGCCCTTTCCTTTTCCTCGTCGTCTCTGATTCAAAGGGAAGCCCCTTCCCTTTCTTCCCTTCCCCGCGCGAGGAAGGGGGGGGGTCCCGTTCCTTTTCCTCGTCGTCTCTGAATCACAGGGAAGCCCCTTCCCTTTCTTCCCTTCCCCGCGCGGGGGGGGGGGGGGGGGGGTCCCGGGGGGGTAGCGAGGGGGGGTAGCGAGGGGGGTCAGATACGCCGCCCTCCTGGGGATCCTCGGTCAGAGGGAACCCCCTTCCCTTTCTTCCCTGCCCCGCGCGGGGGGGGGGATCCCGGGGGGGGGTAGCGAGGGGGGGTAGCCAGGGGGGGTAGCGAGGGGGGTCCTGAGTCAGATACGCCGCCCTTCTGGGGATTCTCGATCAGATACATCGCCCTCCCGGATTCGCAATGTCGCCTCTGAATCAAAGGGAAGCCCCTTCCCCACGTGTTCGTCGTCCCTGCCTGCTCCATCCATTAACTCCTGCTCCCCCTTCTGTCTTTTCCATGTCTCCTCCGCATCTTCATGCTCCTCTTACTCCTCCTCCCACCTGTTCCTCCTCCTTCACTCCTCCGTCTCCTCCTCCTCCCCGCCCTCTCCCCCCCGTTTCCCTCGAGAGCCGATGCCTCCAGGGTCGGCGGCACAGGCCGTAAGGCCAGCGCAATAGCGAAAGCCCTCCCGTCGTGACTTCTTCACAGCGCGAGGGGGTCCGGGTCGCCGTCCTCGTCGTCGACGTCTCCCGCCCCCCGCGCGCAGGGCCCGACGGAGCACGAGCGGGCCCGCCGTGCACTCTCCACGGGGGCCCCTGCACCCCGACGCGGAGGAGACCGGTCCGCCGCCGCCACCGCGGACAAACGCCGTCGAGGGGGCCCAGGGGCACGCAGAGAGAGAGACACAGACTGCGGGCTAAACTTCTGTCTATATCCACTGCAGCATGGAGCTTCGGGCTCCCCTCCCAAGAAACCCGAGGCGCACTGGATGTGGATAAATTTGCCCCCTAGAGGCTCGATTTTTATCCATATCCAGTGCGCCTCGGCCTTGTGGCGCCGCTTCCAAAAAAGTCCCAAAGGCACTGGATATGGACATGAATCTTGCCAAGCAACAAACAACAAGGGTCCCCATGTTTGTTCCCCCATATTTTCTAGGTTCCCGTCCTCGTCCCACAATCTTCTCCTGGGAGAGTCGACGACTAATCGTGTCTGTGTGTTGCTTTACCTCCTGGGCAATGTGTGCGCAGCCCTGACGGCTGCCAACCGTTGGTATTCGGGGATCTTCTGACCCGGGTCAATCCAAACCCGGGTCAGCAGGAAACCAATTATCCCAGCGCGCCCCTACCTAGGAGTTGGAACATTTAGGCAAACAACATCTACATTTACACCAACAGCTACATTTACATCTACACCTGCATCTACATCTATAGCAACATCAACAGCGAGACTCACATATACATCTACATCCACACCTACATCTACACCTACATATACATATACATCTACACCTACATCCACATCTACAGACGTGCTCCCGCCTCGTCCTCCCCGTCCTCCTCGTCCTCCTCCTCGTCCTCCTCCTCCTTCCTCCTCCCCCCTTTCGTCCTAGATTGGAGCAATGCAATGCTATGCTATGCTATGCTATGCTGTGTTATGCTGCGCTATGCTATGTTGTGTTATGATATGATATGCGATGCGATGCTATGCTATGATATGTTATGATGAGCTATGCTATGTTATGCTATGCTATGCTATGTTTGGCTTGGCTATGCTATGCTATGATGTGCTAATGCTGCGCTGCGCTATGCTGCGCTGCGCTAAGCTAAAGTAAGGTAAGGTAAACTATGCTAAGCTAAGCTAGGCTGACCTAAGCTAAGCTAGGCTAGGCTACGCTAAGCTAAGCTAAGCCAAGCCAAGCCAAGCCAAGCGAAGCTCAGCTCAGCTAAAATGAGATAGGCGAAGCTAAGCTAAGCTAAGCTAAGCCAAGCTAAGCTAAGCTAGGCTAGGCTAGGCTAGGCTAGGCTAGGTAAAGCTAAGCTAAGTTAAGCTAAGCTAAGCTTAGATGAGATAAGCTAAGCTAAGCTTAGCTCAGCTTAGCTAAGCTGGGTGAACCCAGGGGCGTAACTGCGGGAACCGCGGGGAGGATCCTGGGGGAACCGCCCGGGGCGGGGAACACTGCCCGGCCCCTTTAAGCAAAGAGAGTAAGAAACCTTCTAGGCAGAGCCTAGGTAGGGAAAAACCGGACTCCGGGGATCTGGGGCTTTGGGACCCTTCGAACGGGCCTCGAAGCGGCTGCCCGGGCCTCGCAGGGCGTTTTGCCAAGCCTTCGCAGCACACCTAGGGCGATCAGGGGGGTCATCGGAGACGTCCTGGAGAACCCTGAGACAGCATAAGAGCGCTCCAAGAAGCCGTCATACCCCGAAAGATCGCTCCAAAACGTACCAAGAGGCCGCCAAGAGCACCCCCAAGAAGGCCCCAAGATGGAAAAAACAGTGATTTAATGCAGGTTGTTGGTGAATTTGAGGTTCTCCTCTTTTCGGCTTCCCGACACTCCCAGACAGCGG